CTCCAACTTCCTCTTCTTCCCTCATGTCCAAATCCTCCTTCTCTTCTACCTCCGCTTCTTCTTCGCTCTCTTCCATCAATGCTTGATTCACTGCAAGCTGTGTCAGAAACAGGATAAAAACACCGTTGAGGCATTTCGTCGAACAATCGAGGAGCATAAACGGGATTCACGTTCACCTCTTCGAGGAACTTCTCATCCAGCTTGTTGCCGATTCGGATGGAAACCAAGATGGTGCCGATGAGGAGGGAGAGGGGAAGAACGAAGACGAGGAAGAGAGTGGACGCGCTCGGCTGGCCGGCGCGCACCACCGCCTGGTCTCCCCGTCGCGAACGCCGGCGATGAAGATGGCGGTTGATCATTGATGGGGATCTTAGGGTTTGGAAGGAGGAGAGGAAAGTGGTGCTGAAGATAGGAAAGGTACCTGCGGGGATCCGAGCAAGGAGACTGGGAGGTGAGTGCGGTAGCGCGGAGAGCGCGATGAGGCTCGCCGCCATAAGGGATGCTGTTAGAGACTTGTTTTTGGCTTCACAAATGATTGGGGAATATTAGGCTGCTAAAAAATAGAGATTCAAGTTTATTTATACAATTACGAAATTGTCCTTTGAAATATAGTTAAAATTTATGGTGAAAATAAAATTATTATTAAGAAAAGATTTAAAGAGATTTGTAGAGTTGAAATCAAGGTAGATTTGTAATTATGTTGAACAAAATCAAATAGGCCCTATCATTCATTGAATCATGTCGAGTTTGAACAAGTGGAGCTTAGTTTGAATTTAGTAGTTTCGAGTATAATTTCGCTATGTTGATGTTAAATATAATGTGTATAAAAAACTTGGTTGTTGTTTAAGTCAATAGGATGATCGAGGGCTACATTGGCATGGGTAAAATTGGTAGACTTAAATCTTCGTGATCACATGTGAGTACATTGATATATGTTAACTTTCTCTGTCACATGTGATTGAAGGTGGCATAAGATAATGTGCGGGATCATGACATTGTTGTCATCATTGATGGTCAGCTCGCTCACTCAGGCCTATCTTGATATGAGTAATACTTTATAGTGTCCAATTATATGAACACACACAAATTATAATTCAAATTGATTTGAAAAATGTTATATGACATTGGGAGTTGCACCCCTTAACATGCCTAAAATATAGGAGTTCGTTAAGGCAAAAAAAAAAAAAAAA